CTCCTCCCCCCTCCTTCCGCCTTCCGCTCCTCCGTCGGTCGGTTGTTCCTTCCTTCCTGCTACTCTGGCACGCTTCGCGATATGGGGCAGAGCGTCCCGACCGCCAGCTGCACCTGAAGATCCCGGAAGCCGTCCCCGCGATGGAAGAGGACCAAGAGCTGGAGAGGTAACGGTCGAGGAGGTGAACGGGTGGGCCTCTGCGTCCAGGCCCGACTGGGAAGGCCGGGGGCGAGAGAGGGAGGAATGGGCGCCTGGGCGGGAGAGAGGGCTCCGATTGGGAAAAGAGGAGAGGAGTCAGGCATGTGTTTGAGTAGAAACGCTCATAACACTAGAGACCAAGGAGGGAGGCAAGTTGTGAGGAATCCCCAGACTGCCCGTCCCCGGTTAGAACAGCCGGAGTCAATCGGCCAACGTGTGAAACCACACGCCGGGCCTCCGTCCCGGTGCTGTGGCCCAGCTCCCTCTTCTGCTCCGAGTTCTCTTTCTCCCTCCTGCCTGATGGACTCTTCTCAGACTTCCCGAGCTAGTTTCCTTACCTCCTCCAAATGGAAGCCATAGTTGGGCCTGCACGGTCATCATCTGTAGCCTCTAATCTTAAAATAATCTGTGTGTCTCTACGCCTTTCAACTCCCTTTTCGTGCTCTAGAATAGGCTACCCTATTCTAAACCTATCCTTTCTTGTGATTCTAGCAAAAGAATATTTTAGCAAACATTTAAGTTTGTGTTTTAAGAAAACTCCCCTGTGGCCGTGTAGATGGTCGAATGGAGTAGGGAGAAACTGGAGGCAATAAATTAGGTATTTATTGATAGAATATGTGGAGGCAGGAAAATAAAGGGCTAATGTTAATAGTTTTATGTAGTTGGAGTGTATCGAGTATTAATGTGTTGCAATTGTGATATAGTAAATGAAAAAAAAAGCTAGTTACAAAACCATATTCAGTATGATCTCATTTTTATAAAAAATATGTATGTAGAAAAATGTCTGGATTGAAGATCTCAATGGCTGAATGTGAGAGGAAGACAGCTCTGGAAATGGCCCAGGCAGCTGGAACAGATAGACACTGTGTGACATTTGTTTTGCATGAGGAGGACCATACCCTAGGAAATTCTCTTCGTTACATGATCATGAAGAACCCGGAAGTGGAATTTTTGTGGTTACACTACAACCCATCCTTCAGAGAGTAAAATTAATTTACGAATTCAGACTCGAGGTGCTCTTCCAGCTGTTGAGCCATTTCAGAGAGGCCTGAATGAGCTCATGAATGTCTGCCAACATGTGCTTGGCAAGTTTGAGGCCAGCATAAAGGAATATAAGGACCAAAAAGCAAGCAGAAATGAATCCACATTCTAGTCCCTGTGCACTATAGAGGGAGGAACATCCTCTGGGATATTTTCTTCGTGATCTTGCAAAACCCAGAAATAGAAGTTTATGATTACAACATGATCTGCTCTTCAGAAAGGTGTGATTCTAGCTATTAACTCATTACAGCTGTGGGAATCCCTGCAATAACCTTTGTATTCTAATAAATTCCCTCTTTAAACTAATTTGAGTGGTTTCTGTTCCTTGGTCCTCAAGGTTGACTATTTTGGGGGTTTTTGTTTATTAATTGAGCCAACATGGAAAGTGAGGAAACTATGAGAAAAGCAGGGGCCTAAACAAGGACTTTTTTAAAGGGAATTAAAAGAAATAAGCATTCATGTCTGTGATTGGGGGAGAGGGAGATGTGCAGTAAAGCATGACCCCAGATAGACTCTAATTTTTGGGGGGCGGGGGGGTGGGTCTGGGAGGGGGAAAGCAGGAAAGAAAGATGGAAGTAGGTGGGGAGAACTTGGCTTCTTGCTTCATGTATTTTAGTAATTCATAAAATTCTTCCTTTGCTGTGATTGGTAGATTGGGTAAGGGTGGGGAATAATTTGAAAAAACTGAGACTTCTGGTTTCACATAGAATTGAATTTTAGGTAGTATCAAGCTCCATCATTATATTTATAGGATAGATACCAGTTTACTGCTTTATTTTGACCTAAGTAGGTCAAGAGAGTTTAATTCTATTAGAGAGGGAAATTACTGGGATGACCAGATAACTTTTTCAGTCCTTAGGTATCTTAAGGATAGCCCATGGTTACATAAAAGAAGCAGTATTTGAAAGAAAGTAAGGACAGGAAGAAAGAAAATTTCATGTGGCCAAAATGATTTTTTTAAAATGAGATATTAGTGAATCACATCTAAGAGCTGTCCTATTTATCTCCTCAAACTTGATTCATATCTATCCTACACCAACTTGATTCATAATTTACCCTAAATGTCTGTCAACCTTTGAACCTGAGCACCCCACACCCCAGTACTCTATGCATTGTTCCCTCTTCCTGGAGGATTCTTACTTCTGCCATACTTTAGTGTAGGTAAGAACTTAGATGTAAGACTCCCCATCCTAGTTTGGGTACTTGCCTGTGCTTTCATTATACTCTGTTTCCTGGTCTTGGATTTACTATGTGTTTGTTAGTGCTTATGTTGTCTACCATTATACCAACTTGTAGCACAATGCCTAATAGGTAGTGGACCATTAGTAAATACCAGATGAATCCATGTATATGTAGCCTTTTATTCACTCATATCAAACCTCTTCTACTGACCTGCCACAGAATCTGCATTTTCTATATGCAACTTCTTTAGATAAATATATTTTGTTTTTATTGATCACCTAGCTAGCATATACCAGGTCCTAGGATAGATAAGCTAGTGGATGAGACACAGGTCTTATGAAGTATACATTATAAAAGGAGTAAAAAAATTTTACTTTGTGGGGGCGGGGAGAGAAAGAGAACATGAGGAGAGTAGAGGAGATTCTACTTTAGGTGTGGAAGTCAGTGAAGATCTTCCAGAAATTACAGAACAGAAGGAACTAGCTGTGCAAAAAGGAGAGAAAATGCATTCTGGGGGAATAGTATGTGCAAAAGTCCAGAAGCTGAAAACTGGTGTTTTGAGGGGTTAAATGTATTGAAAGAAGATTTATATATCTGTAGCGTGGTAAGTAAGGAGGACAAGGGCCTATCCTATGGGTTCAATGGGAAGAAGAGCTGGGGTAGTAAGGAGTTGGGTGTTAAGTACAACGGGAATGACCTCTGAATTCTTTGATTACAAAGTGGGGAAATGAATTTGTAGAGAGGCCAGAGTAGAAGCAGAAACTTTCGTGTGGCCTGGAAGGGCAGTAACCTAGTGATAGAGAAAAGTGGGTAGATTGGAGATGTATTTCTGAACCAAATTTGTACAGAATTGGTAGACCTCAGGAATTGGATGTAGAAAGATAACTTCTACCTCGATTTGGGGCCAAATTACTGAAATGGGAAGCTTAAGAGGGAAAATAGGTTCGGAGGTGGAGAAGATGATTAAACTCAAAAGTTCCGTTCTGAACATAGTAGATAGTAGATATGTGAGTTAGAAGCTGTGAAAGAGATCTAATGAAGCTAGAGATTTACCTAGTGAGTTCTTGCCATAAAGATGATGCAAATCCATAAAAGCTTGAGTGTGGGAAGAAGAGGGCCCAAGCCCAAGTCCTGGGCATGCTTGGCGTTTAAAATTTGGGTAAAAAAGGAACAGCCAGTGAGGTAGCAGGAAATTCTGTAGAAAGTGGAGTTGTGGAAGCCAAGGCTCTCACAGAGGGATATTGATGTTGAATGAGTTGAACATGAGGACGGAAAGCATGTTTATTGAATTTAACAGGGAGGTTGGTGAGCAGTGGGCAGCATTACTTTAGTGCCTAAGAAGACTAGACATTAATAATCATTGTACAGAAGAAGGACTTCATTTGGGTTTTCCAGTAAAGAAAATATACCACAGGACATTGGGGAGCTATATTTAAGTGGCAGCAGGGATGAGGAAAGATAAAAGTCATGGGGTAAGGATAGAGAGTATTTTCCTAGGGTGATAGTAAGAGATAATTATTAAAATGATTACATACCAAAGGCTTTTAGTATATAACTAGAGGCCCGGTGCACAAAATTCGTTGGGGGGGGGGGGAGGTGGTCCTCAGCCTGGCTTTCGCCCTCTCAAAGTCTGGGAGCCCTTGGGGGATGTCCGACTGATGGCTTAGGCCTGCTCTGGGCCTAAGCTGTCAGTCAGACATCCTTCGCGCTGCCACAGAGACCGGAGAGACTCCTGCCACTGCTGCTGTGCTCGCCAGCCATGAGCCTGGCTTCTGGCTGAGCGGCACTCCCCCTGTGGGAGCGCACTAACCACCAGGGGGTAGCTCCTGCATTGAGCGTCTGCCCCCTGGTGGTCAGTGCGTGTCATAGCAACTGGTCGTTCCACTGTTTGGTCAATTTGCATATTAGCCTTTTGTTATATAGGATAATAAAAGGCTAAGTGATTGTCCGACCAGCCGGTAGGTATGACGCCTACTGACCACCAGGGGGCAAACGCTCAACGCAGGAACTGCCGAGCTGCGGTGGTGACTTCACAGCAGTGGTTCTCAGGTGATGCACTCCAGAACCAGAGAGGAGGGAGCCTGATTCCTCGCACTTCTATTATAGAGAAAGGGCGAATAGTGATATTAAAATATTTCTTCTAATTAATTTACTTTCAATATGCATGAATTCATGCACTGAGCCACTAGTATATAATAATTTGCTTACCTAGCACTTTCCATTTTTCAAAGCACTTTACAAATTATAAATTGCATATAGCTATAATATCTAAATGCTCCAATTAGTTGGTATAACACACAGGTGCCTACAGAATCTGTAGAGATAAAGTGTCTACATAAAAAGTCTATTCAGTATCATTCTGACCCAAAGAGTGTCTTGTATTTCAGGAAACCATATCAAGTTCTATGGCCCACCATTTTGTTTCCCTTGAACAAGTTATTAAGATTGTAGCTACGCTCTGGCCAGTTTTTCTCAGTGGTTAGCGCATCAGACAGTGGACAGAGGATCTCAGGTTCGATTCCTGGTCCAGGGCATGCATACCGTACCTGTACCCGTATTGTGGGTTTGTTCCCCACACTGGTTGGAGCATGTTCAGGAGGCAACCAATCAATGTGTCTGTCTCACATTGATGTTTCTCTATCTCTTTCTCCCTTCCACTCTCTGTAAAAATCAATGGAAAAAAATATCCTTGAGAGAAGATTTTAAAAAAGAGAGATTGTAGTTAGTCTCCAGATCACTAGACAAAAGTCATCAATTTTGGTTAGCATAATTTTAGAATCAAAGATAATCTTTGTAATATCCCTCCAACTGGGCTCCTAGGAAGTTTACTTGAGTCCACTAGTGTACTTTCAAATACTTATAAAGATCCCAAATCTTTTGAGCTCAAGTTTTTAATGTTGTTTTGTTTGTTTGCTATTTGAAACTTTACAAACTATCCCAGTTTGGTTAATGTATGGTTTGTATTTTTTTCCCCATCATGAAATTTCTTCCAAACCTAAATTAGTGGATCTCTATGCAACAAATATGTACATAGTCATGGCACAGTCCTGAGAAATGGTGCAGATAAGAGATATGAGTCTGTCCTAAAAAGCTCTATGTGGTTTTGGAGAGAAGACAGTTGTACATATGAAAAAGAAAACAGATTGCATTTATGATGAAGTGCCCTAATGTTCAGTGTAGAGTATTATGTGCTGAACATAGAATGGTATCAGTGAGAGACACTATTGAAGCAGTGATTGTTTCATGAATACCCCCTCAGCCAGCCACTGTGCTAGGCACTGGAGATAGTTTCCTGTCTCCTAGTGTAAATGAGCCATTAAAGACTCTTGAGCTAGAGAATGCCATAAAGGTTTTGTTTTTCACCCCACACCTGTGCATAATGGATGAGTAAAAGGAAACATTGGGAGACAGCAGTTAGTTGGGCATATGTAACAGTCCAAATGTAATATAAGGAGGCCGAGTTATAGGAATGGAAGTAAAAGGATGAATACCAGAAAGCTAAAAAAGAATTAAAATAACTTGGAGACAGATTCTGTATAAGGTTGAAAATTCTGTATAGGGTTGAAAATGGCCTCATACCCATGTCATTGACCCCTTTATTTTCCTACCACCCCCTTAAGACCCAAACCAGAATGCAGGATAGACCATCTTGTTCCCAGCCTGTCCTTGCTAATGGGAGCAACCACTCTTACCTCCTTCTCTCACCCTTGTTAGGAGAATTTACATCTTAGACAAGAACTTTAATCCAGGACTACAGATGTGAAGATTGGGGATAGGAGGAGGCAGTCAGGGCAGTAAGCTGACAGACTCTTAGAGCTGTCTGCCTTCACCAAGTTGCTCTTCTCAGAACATTTCATTTATCTTATTCAATCCATAAATATTAGTGAGTATATATATATTCAGGCACATTTAGGAATGTAGCAAGGAACAAGTTGCCTACATGCAGTTTATTTTCTAATATAAATAAGTGCATAAATATATAATGTAATTTAAGGTAGTGGTATAAATGGGAAGTAAAAGAATGATGGGGGTGAGAGGGCACTGAGAGACTTGAGTAGTTAAGGAAGGCCTTTCTGAAGAGGTGACATTTGAACAGAAATAACAGAGACCAAGCATAAAGAAGA